TTTTTAGCATGAGAGGCCTCTAAGTAGAGGAGCAGCTCTCCTCTAGGCACCCCTCTCACATGGGACTGGAATTCTCTTCCAGCAACTCAGTCTGCTGCAAGGAACTGCATCGGCTTCATTTCCATGGACGTCTTGGTTTTCCTAGCAGACCTACTGCACTTGCTGTTAGAACTCTGTTCTCCCAGACCCTTGCTCAGCTCCTTCCTTGACTTAATTTAGATCTCTGTTCAAATGTCAGCTCCTCCAATTGTACGTTACTAAACAGCCTTGCCTGCCCCCTCGATTCCTCGCTAGGCTTTGTTTTGTTTCCCCAGACTTATCACAGCCTCTTTAGTTTTTGTCTGTCTGCTTCACCAGAATACCATTTACATTCGGGAAAGGTCTTTGTATTCACTAGAATACAGTGTTCGTTAGAATACACTACTGTATTCTAATGCATTACTTGGCACACGATGGCCATTTAATAAACATATTTTGAATAAATAAGAGGCCAATAATTTTGTGTGGGTGAGGATATCGGGATCTCAGTGATGGTGGATGTACGGTCAGTATGAAGGAAAAATATTATAAAATAAAACTGAATATTTAAAGAGTGACTTCTACACTTACTATTGTGAGAAACAGTAAAATTCACTATCATTTGATTTAGGGGAGGTGGTTCCAGAGGGGCTTTAAAGAGAAGGTAACATTTGGGCTGGGTCTTCAGGAGTAGGAGTTTCCTAGGCAGAAGAGAGAATAAAGAAGGTGTTGCAGATAGAAGAAGAGCATGAACCAAGGCATGGAGGTGGCCAATTCAGCACATTCGAGGGCCAGAGGGCACCGTGGGAGTTGGGAAACACAGACAGCTAGGGATGAAATAGAAAAGTGGTTTGTGGCTTGACTATGAAGAGCCTTTCATACCCAATTAGAGTTCAATTTTGTCTTTTAAGGCAGGGAGAACCACAAGATTGTTACAAAAGGGAAATTTAGACAACGATCTTGGCAAGTGTCTAAGGAAGGGTCAGGGCAAGCAGATGGCAGAGGTCTGAGGTCAGGTGGGAGAACTCCACATGGTCTAGATGAAGGAAGACAGCACAAGCCTAAATTAAGACTTGAGGGATGGAGAGGGTGGAAATGACAGGCTCAGAATTAACAAAAATGGTGTCCCATACATGTACTAAGCCCTCTAAAAATACACACTGCTGATGTGTGTTAATGCAGGACATTTCGTAGCACAAAAGCTCTGATGATAGGTACCACAAGCAAAATGTTCCAGTTTTCCCTTATGTACCGACCTATTCCAGTTTAACATCAGCATATGAAAAGGCAAGCAGACATCCTTTTAGAAGCAGGTCTTACAATGGTTGCAACTCATTTTCATTATTATAACACAAAAGAGCAAAATGAGAAAAAAATGAATCCCCTCAACAGAACAGCATTTTCTAAGCAAATGTGTTTTTCAAGATATGCAAATGTTGAGTCTAAATATGTTTGACAGCATTCCTTAATTTAAGCATTTTTAGTGTTGAGAAAAATCATTTAATATAAAAGCACTGCCTTTAGAGATATAATATGAAGGGAGGGAGAAAAAATGGCAAGGTAAAATAAATAAACTGCAGCTGACTCTTGAACAAGACAACGTTTGGGGTACGGACTCTTTCTACAGTTGAAAATTTATGTGCATTGGTTGGTTTCCCAAAAACTTAACTACGAATAGCCTACTGTGCACTGGAAGCCTTACCAATAACCTAAAGAGTTGATTAACACATATTTTGTATATGTATTATAGACTGTATTCTTAAAATCAAGTAAGCTAGAGAAAAGAGAAGTTCTTCAGAAAATCATAAAGAAGGGAAAATACACTTACAGTACTGTATTAATACTTTAATACTGTGTTTATTAATTCTTTAAGTTTACATCATCTCTTTACGAGATGATGAATCATCTGAAATGGTAAGCAATGGTGGCTACAGCACCAATATTTTCAGACTACTAGATATTTTCAATCTACTGAAAATATCAAGCAATTCAACTTCTTGTGATGTCATCACTTTTCTGTTTCTTGGGAGCACATCCAGGATCACTAGTGCCATTTCATATAGGTATCACGGTGTTATTCAAGGTTTACAGTATTGCACCGAACACGGTAAAAAATATACAAGAACCTTAAGAGATCACTTTTTACTGCAATGTGCAATTTACTGGAGGGAATAACTGCTCACAGGGAGATGATTAGCGTGACACAGTGTTTTAACCAGATATACAACATGAGCTCATCACAAGAGCAACAGGAGGTGGTTACAAAATTATTAAAGCAGTATGGTAGTAGTATAGTTGTAGAAATTATTTGAGTAGTACAGTATTACTACAGTTAATTTTATGCAGTTATGATTTAATACTGTATCTTTATATTTGTTTATATTTCTCCCAACTGTATATGGTGCCATGGACGGTGTTGTTTGTGTGCATAAGTGCTGATGTTTTAATTTTTATAATAGATTTGTGTATGTTTCATGGTAGTAAATGATAAAATAGACTAATATCTACATATATTTTATGTACTTGTGACATACCTAACATTGTCTTAATTTTTTCAACATTTCTGGACTATATAGTTCATCTTTGAGTTTTTTTCAAATTGTCACAAATCTCAAAAAATTTTTCCAACATATTTATTGAAAAAGATCCACATGTAAGTGGACCTACACAGTCCAGACTCGTGCTGTTCAAGGGTCAACTGTAGATACTTAGCACTTCTTATAGAAAGGAACATCATTAACGTCGAGACTTTGAGACAACAGTTTTCTTGAGGACAAGGAAGGCTTTGTAGCGATGCATCCAGCTTCATCAAGAGCGTGCATGCATACATGCACATGTGTGACAGGGCTTTCTTTAATTGTTCATATTTCTTCACCAAATCCCAGAATTTTGTTGTCTTTTTTCTTTACAGAAAAATAATGGTTAGCCCAAGTGTACTCGCCTTTAAGCGACAGGAACTTTCGCAATAAATTAATTCATTGTTGGTTGGACAGTGAAATAGAAATGAACTAAAATGACATACAGATAAACACATTTAAGCACAAAACCAAAGAAACAGTATTTAGTATTAAGTGAATGTCAATTTATATTTGCAATATTCTGATGATTAGAAAGGTAAAAACATTCTATTGCATTTTTGCAACTTTTCACTCACCAAATTTTCTTACTGAGCAGTATCTTCCATGAATGGATAAAATACAAGTAAGCAAATATGCATCTACACTGTCCAGTGTAGATGGAATGGTACTGTAAATCCATGTACTTTTTGGATAAAAAGAAATGTCAATAACATTTAGAAAAAATATATAATTTTTTTAAAATAAAGGAAACTGGAGGTGCGTGGATCACTTGAGCTGAGGAGTTCAAGATCAGCCTGGGCAACATGGCAAAACCCCATCTGTACTAAAAATACAAACAATTAGCAGGGGATGATGGAGTGACGGAGTACATCTGTGGTCGCAGCTACGCAGGAGGCTGATGCAAGAGAATCACTTCAACCCAGGAGGTGGAAGTTGCAACAAGCTGAGATCGTGTCACTGCACTCCAGCCTGGGCAACAGAGTGAGACCCTGGCAAAAAAGTGAGACCCTG